TTTAGGCTGCAGCCTACATAACAAAAATCTTGATAATAACTAAAAGAACATAATAAAATTAAAAACTACTACTAGATAAAAACCAATTACATTATTTTATTATTATTATTATTATTTGTTTTAGACCAAGGGGCCAAGTATGCCAAACAGCAAACTATTAAAATCAATTAGTGACAAAAAAGTGGAAAATCCCTTCACAACACTTCACAAGTCCCATTATGGGGTATAGGGAGTAAACTTGTGTTTTGGTTTATAAGAAAAAATCCTAATTTCATGATGAGAATTGAACACAGAACAAGTGAAAATCATAGAATTCACTCTAACATCAACATACAGGTCTCACTCTAATTAAAGACCACTTTTGGGACCAGCGTTTCCATGGTATTCAGCAGCTCTGTCTCTAATTAGAATAATTAATTTGCTAATTATTAATAATTAATTTAGTTAATTTGGGACTACAGAAGAGTGGTCTTTAGAGAGACCTGTAGTATACAAAAGCTCACCTGTGCAATTTCTGCCATCCTTTGTAAGATAGTAACCATTATTACAGGTGCAAAGAATACCTTGATCCACCTCCTTGCACACCTGGCCACACACCCCTTCATTGTCACTACATGAGTGGAAATTAGTATCCAGATTGTCTACACATTGAAACAGAAACAAATCACTATTTAATTTCAAAAAAAGGTATGTTGCCTTCTACTTACCTCATGTGTTGAGGAGGGAAACACAATTATAGATCTTTCTGGAGCGACTATGTGCATGTCTCATAGGCTAACATGCTGTCCCACAACGCATACCTTTGCTTATGATTTTACGCTGTCGTTTTGTGGGACAAGTAGCAATAATATCCAAGGGGCGTGGTTTAGCGAAAAGGTCCATTCATCAGTAAAAGGAAGAATTCTTATGAAATATTTACAGGTTATAATTAAAAGGTCCATCAAATAAGCCTTTAGGAAAATTAAATTGTTGGAGCTTCCGGCAGTTCCCTGCTCCCTCCCCCACCCCCAAATTGTGGTTCTGGGACCATTACTCTCCTATTAGGGACATTGTAATAATAATAATAAATGTATTAGCCAATTTTCAGTAGGAAATATTTGGCACCAATTTAAAGAAGTTGGTATTCAGTCGTCAAATATAAACTTTGAAATTGTTCCTATCTAAACTTTAAAAATGATAACAAGAAACAATCTATTATTATTATTATTATTATTAGTATTATTTTGAGAATTGGTGTTCAAAACAGAAAATTGATAATAGTCTTCAAAAAAAGTTTTATAACAATTTACAACAAGAAGTTATCATAAAATTTTCGAAAACAAAGGAAATTCAAATATACAACTAATTACAATTTTAATAAAAGAATTAAAAAATAGAACAGTATCAACATTATGAAAAGTTCAAATGCAAAAAACTTATCCACATAAAACTTCAGTAATAATAATATCAACCAAGCAATTACAATCAAGAGAACATTATTACGAAATTTATCATCAATTTATACACACATAAATATATTAATCAACAAAGGAAATTGTAAAGACATACTGCAATTGTTGATGGGTGTCTCATCACTACCATCTCTACAATCGTCTGAACCATCACAAACTTTATGTCGAGTAATACAGTTATCATTACCACAATGGAATTCGTTTGGAAGGCAGGTACTATTTTCTATTTAAAAGAAAAAAGAAAGTCCAATTAAAAAATATTTATATAATTACATTAACATGTTTTCAGGCATGAAATATAATAAATATGCATTAGTAGTAGTTTTATAAGCCTGGAAAGAAACAGTGAAAAGTTTCTTAGCAATCAAATTATAGGTGGCAGCAAACAGATAAACAAAACTATTAAATGAATAACAAAAAGTAATTAAAAGAAAAAAGTTTTTTCATTTTTTAAAATCTGTCACCATTGTTCGGTTTTTAGCACTTAAGTCATGTTCATAATCATATTTATTTTCATCCATTCAATAAACAAAACAAATGCTGAAACCTAGAAGTTAAGTCTGTATACAGATTATGGTAACTAACTTAATTACAATACATCTTCATGACTTCAGTGGAAGTCTAGTATACACATCTGGCCTATTGTATTTTTCGGAAGAGTAGGGTGTTACCCCCATGCTATGGTTCATATCACCCTTGTTGTTGTGGAGTGACGGTGAACATGAAACTGCTGAAAGCACCTCATCATGACAGCTAGGCAGTCACGGACCATGCCAATGAACAATTCAGCACAATCATGTTGCAAATCTTATGGGGTTTTTTCCTACCTTTACCTTCACCTTTATAAGACTGCTAAAGGTAAACCACTACATGATGTGAATTAGGAGCTAATGTAATCACCATACATCATTTATTTGACCTCCTACCCCCTACACAAAAAAAAACCTGAAACACTACAACTAATAATATAGGCCTCTATATAAATCCTTCAAGGTTAGTCAAGGAGAGCAACTTGTCTGTTTTAAAGCTAAATTAATCATGATTAAAGCTCAAAAGTATGTAAAATGTTGTTATTACGTACTACAATTCTCTTCATCGCTACTATCGGAGCAGTCGGCATCTCCGTCACATTTCCAGTTCATTGTGATACACCTACCTGATTTGCATTGAAACTGATCTGCACTGCAGGTACTTAAAGCTGTCGAGAGAGAAAATTGTGAAAACAAAATACCGAAAATTATTAATTCGGTTTCTAACACTACAGGTATTGTAGTGATGAAAAAACAACGATGTACAATTTTATGATGTAATGTTTGTTGTATTAAATACGCACTAATTTGTTAGTAAAGTTAATTTTCATGTGTTTTTTTTAATTTTGAAGTATATGGATACACCACAAGTTTGTCTTGTGTGCATCATTATTGTTAAAGCGAGTTCCAATAAATCTAATCTTAACAACACAAATAATAGTAAGGTGGGAGCGGTTGCGTTTCGGTCTCTCAACCTCGAGGTAATGAATACGGGACTACCTTTACCTTTCAAGATTTACCATCTGCCAACAGAATTGCCAAAAGCCTAAACACTTTGATATCTAACTTATTCAGATTTAATTGTAAGTTTAACTACATATATTAAGAAATTCAACTATGGAATTGTATTTTTAATTTTTTTTTTTTTAGCTTATGACAGACAGTATGTCTTAAAAAAAGCAAAATTCTCTCAGCTAAAATACTTATACAAGATACCGCATCAGGAGTTGAGAAACTAAATAGGTCATGGAACTTACGACACTGAAGTTCATCCGATTTATCATCGCAGTCGTAATCTCCATCACACCTCCATTGTTCGTTGATGCAGCCGCCGCCTTCACACATGAATTCATCGGTGCGACATGACTGAACACTTGTGCCTTGCAAAAAAAGAGAGATAGAGAATACCAGTCAAAGCCAAGTGTCATTAATTCTACATAATGCCCAAGTCACTGTAGATTATGATTTTCTTTTGAAGACTGTATTATTGATGATGATGATAATTTGTTGCAATTGAAATGTGCATTATAAATAAAATAGTAGTGTAATTTTTTTTATATACACTTAACTATCAGAATACACATATAAATATAAATAAAACTATACTGCTATCATAAAATTAAAAGGAAAATTTAATCTTTCTTTAATCTTTTAGATACAAATTCTTTTAAGTACTCGCATTTTATAAAATTCCCTTGAAATGAGTATGTTCATTCTTCATAGTTTTAACTGTTTTAAAAATTTACTTTCGTTCACTGTAAATTATTTGAATTCCAATATTATATTGATGATCTGCTGATGTAATGAACATCTTGTATATGTTTATTGAATAAATGAAAATGAAATAGATCAAGGTAGAAAGCAAGAACATAACACAAATCAACAGTATTATTTGTAGTCTACTTTGTGAATATTTACCGGGATAAACAAAACTGCCACAGTTCCCTTAATAACACCAATTTGACAAAAATAGAACCATCCCTGCATTCCAGCACCACTACAGCTTCGCCCAAAGACCATCTATGTCGTTGTTCAGTACGAGGTGGGACGGTCAGACACTTACATTTTTGTCGTAGGGTAATGTTAAGAGAACTGTGACAATTCATTAGTTTATCAATTATTCTGACCTACATTACTGTAGCTGTACGAATAAAAGCTCTCCCATCATAAGTACAGAAATATAATTTGTATAGATACTACAAATAACGTCTAAATAACCTTTGCTTTAGATGTTATTTGTAGTATACAATAAATACTACAAATAACGCCTAAAAAGCAAAGGTTAATTTACCAAAATAACAATTATATTTTAAATATTTTATTATTATACCATTAAAATGATTATAACATGATTAGCCAATAACGTAAAATATATGTAATAATATAATTAGTATCTTCTTGAATATGACAAAAATATAAAGAGGGCAGTCACAATTTTACTAAATATGATAATTGATACACAACAATAATCCTTTAAGATAAGATAAGATAAGAAAAAATTAACATGTATACTGTATCATAAAGATCTTAAATTATGAATATTTTATATGTTTATCAATGATCATATGCCAAGCTGACAACTAAAGTCGGTTTATACTAGCAAAGGAATAGAATGTTTCATAAACGGATTTTAGTATCCATGACATTTTGACAGCTATTAAGCAATTGCCGACATCACACCAGTGAGTACCTGTGCGAATGCCCATATTTATACAGGTGGTGACATGAGTGAATAATGGTGTCAGCATCCACACCCCCTTGTCGCATGGTACAAATGCTTCATGATGTCGTGTGATAGATGGTCAATATTGATAGGTCAAAAAAAGAAAAAGTACAAGACCCATGCTGCCTTGTCACATGGTACAAAGGCATGTCAGTGCCGGATCTAGGATTTATGATTGGTGGGTGGCTAGTTAGTGTAAACAGGCTGCTTAGATATGGGGAGGGGATTGGTATTGTTTCTTGAAGCCCAAAAATTCACTTTCCTCTATTCCGAGCCGTCTGTTAATGAAGTTACATTTTTCAAATTTCAAAATCTCTTATGTGCTATGAAAAATTTATTATTAGGATGATGATGATAATGATTACAACACAACAGTTTGAGCTATGGGGTGTAATGTGAATGAAGCGAGTCAATGGCTGGGATGAACGAGGGTGGGAGATGCTCCCCCCCCACCCTTTCAATTATAGATTATTAGGTAAAAAGCAAGCCACGATAGGCACTCTTGCAAGCCATCTTAACTTTGGAATATTACTTTGTTTCTAATAATTGTTTATAGGACAAGCACTAGTCTAGACTTAGGGATTTTTCTTGGAAAAGGAGGAGATGGCTGGCCATCCTATTCTCCCCCTAGATCTGCCAAAGCATTATAATAATAAAAATAAAAACTTTATTAAACCACGGTAAACAATTGATCACCTCTGTGGTGTTTTTCATCAATGCCGTAACAGACATAATAATTAAACTTAACTAATTTTAAACAAAGAATAATATTAATTACAGAAAATATAAGAAAACTTAAAAACCAAATTAGGAAACAAAAAAGAAAACATCAAATTACAAAATACTAAAAATTATTGTAATACATAAAAATGTGCAAATTTAAGATAATAGATTGAGTTGCTTATTAAATGTAGGCTACTGTACGTAGCCTTTCAAAAACAAAATATAGCTTAATTAAATTTTAGCATGTATCTATAAAAATATTTAATTGTCTTTTAATTGACATTTAAAGTTAGAAAGAGTAGTTGAATTTTCTGATGTCCCATGTGATTATGAATAATTTATATTGGATAATATATAATTGCCAAACAAAAGTGTGAAATCCAAAAAACTCTTTATAATTTCATTGTAAATAATTAAAAAAAATATATGCTCTGTTCCTACCCAATGGCTATGCAATAAAATTGGCTTACAAATTAAATTGACCTTTTTTCAGATGGATTAAGACTAAGTAAAAGATTTGAACTTACCGCATTGAATTTCATCACTGCCATCAGCGCAGTCTTCCTCTCCATCGCAGACATACTCTTCAAGAACACAGACTCCAGTATGGCACAGGAACTGGCCTTCAATACATGGTAAAATATGCGGTGCTGGGAAAACAAGATCATAGATTTAATTGATTTATTAGTTGATGCAGATTTCAACTGCCTATAATATTTATGTACATTTAATTTAAAAGCAAAAAAAAAAATGAATATTCACAGAATTATTTCAATACATTCCATCACAATGCCATTTCCAATAATAATAATAATAATAATAATAATAATAACAACAATAATAACAATAATAATAATAACAATAATAATAATAATAATAATAATAATAATAATAATAATAATAATAATAATTGAAAACAGTATTTATATAGCGCCTAATCGACCACAGATACATGCAGGCGCTGTACATAAGTCTTAAACCAGCGTTCCGCAAACTTTTTACTTCACTGCCTATTTACGATTCCACGCACCAAACCACGGCCCAGCAGCCTAGCCGCGACAGGGACCAACATACCAAATCCTGGCAAGAACTTTTGATCATGAAGCCTCCATGTATATACAATAGTTTGACATCATTATCTGTTCTCTCAGTGATAAAATTTCATTGTATACAAATTAAATATTATTTTATTAAATAAATAATACTGTACATTTGTGTTCCCCACCCCCCACACACAATTGTTGATTAGTTTTTTTTTTTTCTAGCATGATTCAACCAAACACGGTTCAGCCGCACACGTCATAGCTCTCTCCTTCCAAAAACTTTTACGCACACTCTGTTACTCCGCAACTTTGAAAGATTACCTTACTATAGAAGTATTATATTAGTAATAAAGTATCTACAGGGGCATTCGGTTATCAAGATATGTGTGGTGTTGTTTACTGTAGTGCTCTTTCTAGGACAGGTCTTATTTTATTTTTATCATTAGCTCATGACTCATCCCATCATTCCTCCATACCGGATTTACTCGATTTTACAGTGTTAATACTAGACAATAACAGTGTCCAGCTCCTAAGGGGGGCACAGACACAAAAACCGCTTATAACTCAAATAGCACGCATCATCTGGCATTTTATCAGCGTGTGCAAGTGACGCATTAGCTGTCACAATAAAGCAGCTTTATTAAAAACTATTTTCTCCATGGTGAAACGTATCTTTGTTATTTTTTTCCCCAATTTCTAGACGGCTTTGCGGCCCTCCAAAAAATTTTTTGCGGCCCATAGTTTGTGGAGCATCGTCTTAAACTATGTCGTAAAACTATCCTTCGCCGGACACAAACTCGGTATTTCCGAGTCTAGGTTTCGGAGCAAGAAAAAGAAATAAAATACAACTCAGTACGTACTATACTTCATACATACCTAAATATATTTAACATATTTCTGCTACAAAACAAATAACAAAATTATCAAATACTTGGAATGGTTGAACATAGAATAAGTTTGCTAATAACAGAGAGTTTATTGTTATTTTTTTTATGATATTGGATACTTTGGCATAAAAAATGAGAAGTTTGATCAACAAAGTTCTTGATAGTAGAATATTTGATTCCTGCTGAAAATCATCTACATCTACAGCTGAGTGAAAGGACAGATCGGTTTACAGTTAGTGTCAGATTATTTCATAACAAGATATTCATTATCTATTACTTTACAAAATAGTAATTAAACTCGAGCAAATTAATACAGCTGGTTATCTCAACATGAGACTTCAACTAACGAATCTCAGATCTCTTTACACTACAAAAAAAAAATGGTTTTTTTTTGTAGTGTTTTTTTTTTATTTTGATTAAAATAACAGTTATATTTCAAGCACAGCTTGGAGGTATACTTTTTACATTGATGCACTGGATGACTGAATTTAATATTCATAAAGTAATTAAATCATTTTTAGGCCCAAAAAAAAAAAATTGTTTGCCCCATAGCTCACAGAAAGATAGGGGCAACGTTTTTAAAAACAGTATTTTTTCCCGATATTTTTAAAAAGTGATCTTTATTTTTCTCCCTTTTGCACATGAAAGTTGTCCAAATTTGGTGCCTGATGTAAAGTATTGCCATATTCTAGGCCTAAATTCATTGCAAAATATTGATTATGAGATATTTTATTCAGTCTGATGAATACCCTTTGAAAAACTAATAGTAAGACAGGCTCAATTGTAAACATTGCGATTTAATATGTTAATTTTGGTGACAGGAGAAAACAAAATATTTTTTTTTTTTGCGCCTGCCCTCTCGTATACAATTTCCAGCATTAAAGGGCAACAAATTATTTATTCTTTTAGGCCTTATTATTTAGTCTGTAAAAGTGCTCAAAGACTCGATCTCGACTGTATTTCAGCATCCTAACTATCTAATGTTTACAATATTTTAAATACAAGACACATTCACGAGTAGGCAAATCCAAAAATAGTTGTGATTATTTTACTTTGACTATTATTATACATACTAAAATCCACCAGGTGGCAACAAGTTAAAATCTTTGTGGAGTAAACAAAGAAGTATTGTATATTATTATAGTTGCTCTTTGAAGTAACAAACTCCCAAATATCACTTTCTGTTTGTCTTGAGTTATATATTCTCAGTGAAAAAAATGCATCAAAAGATATTATTAGTTTAGTGGGCCTAACATGACCTTAAAAAGTGAGCTTTTGTTTTTTTTCAATCACCAAATTATTTCTCGCCTTCCAGTATGAATCTAAAGGAAGGGAATGATGTGTAGGGGGTAATAGGAAAGCACTGGCCCTATTTAGATAATAAATAATTAATAATAATAACAATAACAATAATAATAATAATAATAGTTCATTCTTAATTATGTAGCGCATATAGGCAAGATCTCAATGCACTGTACATAAAAAAACAGAATAAGGAATGTTAATTAATGAAATTTTTTTTTTTTTTTTTTTTATTCATCTTCAAAAAACATGACAAAGACATTCAAGGCAAAAGGAATAAAACATAAAAACTTGATGTAAAAGGAAAAGTCTTTAGCTTGGTCTTAAATAGAGTTTGTAACACACTGCCGTTTTTTTCAATCACCAAATTATTTCTCGCCTTCCAGTATGAATCTAAAGGAAGGGAATGATGTGTAGGGGGTAATGGGAAAGCACTGGCCCTATTTAGATAATAAATAATTAATAATAATAACAATAACAATAATAATAATAATAATAGTTCATTCTTAATTATGTAGCGCATATAGGCAAGATCTCAATGCACTGTACATAAAAAAACAGAATAAGGAATGTTAATTAATGAAAATTTTTTTTTTTTTTTTTTTTATTCATCTTCAAAAAACATGACAAAGACATTCAAGGCAAAAGGAATAAAACATAAAAACTTGATGTAAAAGGAAAAGTCTTTAGCTTGGTCTTAAATAGAGTTTGTAACACACTGCCTGACGGAGAGTAGTAACGAGTTCCACAAAGTTGGAGCTGCGACAGCAAAGGCCCTCCCGCCATAGGTGGTTGTTGTCTTGGGAACCACTAGATGACATTGGGCACCTGACCTAAAAGCTTTTAAATACTGTACCTAAAAATAGAGCCAATTGGGACACATTTTATGGATTTTCGGTGCTCTGAATCAGAAAAAACAAGGCCTATTTTTATCATATAATATAAACACTATAAATTATAATATTCAACTGACATATTTTTTAAATACAGTAACTACAAAATATGATGTATGGTATAATATGCTTACAATGAAGACCATTTAATCATTGCTGTCTTATCTGCAATGGTTTCTTTGGACTGTGGGAAACTTAATAATTTGTTATCTTTCATTGTTTTCTTCAATAATGTAGAATGGATAACAGGCAATCAATGTTCCAGATGATAATAATTTATAGCTACTGAAAGTGTGTTTCTTCATACCACAGTTTCTATCATGTTAAAGTACTAATAAATATGCCTACAACTTTATCATTTTAATATTATAAAACATATAGTTTAATATTGAGCTTTAAAGTAATTTATGACCTTAAAATATAAAATTGAATTTATTATATTTTTTATAGGATGTATAATGTTATGTTTCAAATTCTATATCTTTATATTTATCTTCTTCTTCCACACATATACGTATGTTACGATATTGAAACTGAACACAATCGCTAGCGCTCTCATTCCATTCTGCAAGGTCTTTGGCTTTGCGTTTCTGCTCCAGTAGAGGGCATCCCAGTAAGTGCGCCATAGGTTGTGGTTCTGTACTGCACTATCAGGTTATAGTTATTATGTGTAAACTAAATAGTATCTTTAATAGTAACTTTTGTTTACCGTTCTACTAAATTATGGAATAAACTCTTGGATGATATTAAAACCAACTTTAAATCTATGACACTTTCAAATTTTAAGCATTCTATTTCAAATCCTCACCAATAATTCCTGCTTAATCTTACCTGATTTTCTCTTACCTTGCATATCCCCATTTTTATTATTCAAAATTTTGTTTCTACCTATGTTTCTTTTATTTTTATATGTGTATATGTATGTATGTATATTTATATACATATATATGTATGTGTGTGTATGTATATATATATATATATATATATATATTATATATGTATGTGTGTATGTATGTATATGTGTGTATGTGTGTATGTATATATGTATGTATGTGTGTGTATATATATATATATATATATATATTTTAATATATATATATTTTTTTTTAATTTGTAGTTAAGTTTTTGCTCTCTTTGTTATTTTCTGCTTTTAAAATGTTTTTGTAGATAAGAACTGAACCACTTTGGAAATCAGTACTATGTATTAAAAGTGTATATTCAGTATAAAGAAAGAATAAATAAATAAATAAATAAATCCAATCATAATTGAACATTAAAGAGCAATGTACATTCCTAATTTGTTTTTTAATTAAATACAAATTATATAATTTTGTAGTGTATTTGTACTTCCAAATTATATTTCAGTGACTACAGTACAAGGATGCATCTATTTTTGTATGAAAAAAATCTGATATATGAGTTTGCCTGTGATATTATGATAATATACTGTAGTTCATTTGATTTGATTCATATCTTTCGGCTATAATGGCCAAGGAATGCAAATAGCGAATATATATATTATTCTTTACTAAGATATGAATGGGTCAATGTACAAAGAGGTAATCTTTTACAATTTTCTAAATATGTGCTAGGTTTTTTTTTCTCATGCACTGAGCCAATAATGTAAAATACATGGGAAGAACGACTTAATGTCCCATTCAGTGGATGAGGCAATTATAGAAAAAGCGTCTTACTGAAAAACATGGAAAAAATCAACATATACTGGTCTTTAAAAAAATTCCAATGTAATTATATATATGGATTCACATGCTACAACCCATAATCCAATCATGTTTCTCAACTCATATTTTCAAAATGACGTCATATCCAACGTTATCAAAAACTGTTTTGATAAAAACACATAGTTATGATATTTATCATGCACATCTATGATTTATTAGCTTAAGGAATGTGGATACTAAATCTTAAAAACTTTAAAAAAAACTAATACAAGCCCAATTGTAAGGTAGTAATAACATTGGAGAATATCATTGATGTCAATTTGGATAAACGAATCTATAATGGCTTTTGAAAGGTGAAACTGTTGTTACTGGTCATACGTCGATGAAAATGTACGATGAAACCCGGCCAAGCTATTACCATGAAAACCAAAATGTGAATTATGATTTTCAACATCACATAAAGTGACAATTCTGTGGAAAATTCATGAGTTTTTAAGTGTTTATGAGTCACCAGAGAATTTCGCTGCTTGACAACTGAAACTATTTCTAATTATGCCTTTCCTTCTGACAAATCTTATAGCAGACAATCAAATTTACCTAGTTCCTGGGAACCTAGATATATGCATACTGTTGATAAATTTGCATCTGGTAAAACAATACAATTAAAGTAAAGCTTAAACCAAACAAACATGAAATAATATCATGCTGGGAGTTAAAATAAATTTATGTTAATAATTATAACCAAAAAAAAATATATTTTAACCAAATGCAAAAGAAATCTTATTCTTTAATTAAAATTACATAGATCCAATTAAAATGATATACACTGCCAACCAATCAATCAATAGAATTATAAGGCGCATACAGCTGTCTCCGCACCAATAAAGATAATACAAGACCTATGAAGCGAAGAAAGCAAAGTCGGTATGAAATCAAGTGCCATTAGAGTAAAGTCAGTGTTCCGTTTTTCCGCGGTAACATAATTCACACAATCACCGGGAAACGACCCACTCAAGAATAAAATTTTAAAAAACAAAATAGGCCTAGAAATTAAATATTCTATTGATATACAGTATATTGATTAAACGTTGACTAAATTATAATCGTTGGCCAAATTAGCAAAATTAATCAATCTAATACATTTTTTGTTCAACACTTGGATATATACAGTATCTAGCATCAGTTAACGTTGTTGAGTCATTAAACCGAGCTTTCCTTTATCAAACATGATAATGGCTATTTGAATCCGTGGCTAAAATTATTAAACTCAATATATATTTGGCATTAAGTAACACAAAAGCTAAATTTTGTTCGTAAATCCACTGCACACAAAAGCTACTACGCGCTTAATGTCGCAAATGCACATCCGCATAAGCCGATAACTCTCATTTGTTGCTTGTAGTATGCAGAGAATACAAAGATTTAAATGTACTGTAGAACTAAAATGTAATCAAACTTTAGAGTTACAGCAGAGATTAGAGAGATGAAGTAAGTCATTTGGAGTGTCTAATACTTGGAATTCACTGCAGTAATCTATAACCTTAAAGTGATTCAACATTTCTAATATATTTTATCTAATAGCATCTGAATTTTTAGTCATTGCAAAGGTGTTCAAATCCATAACTAAGAAGTCAACTTTAAAGTGTAAATTTTACAGCCAAAACAGCAAGCATGGAACTCATTAAAAAGAGAATAACGTTTATGTGTATAATATACATAATTCAGATGCCGCGGATAAAAGCAATGCATAAATTCATACAATAGGTGTAAATCAATCAATTTTATTTCAAATTTTTAAAGGATAGAGTTTGAAAGTTTTTAAGGTATTTTCTTTATCTCCATCTTCTATGGTTGTGTCAATCATAATGCCTTACTTATTTTGCATATACAATATAATTTGGTAGTTGGTATATTAAATATAAAGCGTAGCTGCATTAGTCTGCTATGGAAATATATAAAACATTCCAGCAGCCCGTTTAAGACTAGCAATATAGAATTTATTTCTCTAGCTATTGTCCACTTCATCGTTCTCCTGACTTTTCTTTTATATTGTTCCTTTATTAAATTAATTCACAAAGACATTAATGACTATAAGGCTGACAAATTAATTAAGGAAATGATGCAGTTTATGTTAAAATGTGTTCATACTTGAAAAATATATTCTTGTTCTGATTTTCGATCGAAAGCTACTTATACCTATAAAAAGTGGGCATTTTACATTCTGAATTGATATTTTTTTCACAACTCATTAACAACGTAACACTTCAAGTATCGTTACTCCAATCTTAATCAACTAATCTAATAACAGTTACTTATAATTAATTTGAAAATGTCTATAATACAATAAAAGTGAAAAAAAATTTTTTAATACAGTTGAGATACAGCTCCTCAAATTAGTAGAAATAAAAATGTTAAATTCTAAATGTATACATAAAAAAAACACCTAAATTTTACACCTATATAATTCTATTTCAATAGTTAATAGTTATATTATTTACTCTATGTGACATTAGTTATACATTTGTTACACAATTATTTACAAAACTGATAAAAACCGAAAAAAAAACCCAAAAAAACTTACGACATTGAATTTCATCCGAACCATCACTACAATCTCGGTCACCATCACAACGCCATGTGTCAGAAATGCATCCCCCAGATTTGCATGAAAATTCTGAACTTGCGCAAGTCACAGAAACTGAGGAAGAAATATAACATATGGACCCAAACAAAACAATTTTAGAAAAATTAATAATGTTTTACTCATAATGCATTTTTTTCAAGATGGTGATATTATTTTATTAGTTTATGTCTGTAATTGTTGGAATTAGGCATCTATATAAAAAAGCTGGACATTTGGGGGCTTTGCTACTTGCCTCAGTTCCCAGACTCCAGGTCTTGTAGTTGTAGAAAGATGTGTATAAGAGACAGGGTTCAAAAATTAGCTTTAGACAGGGTGGAAAACTTCAAGGCCCCATCCACCTCCGCTCGCCTAACTATATCCCTGTATGAATATTTATAGACTTACTGCAGACTTCATCTGATGAATCCCCGCAGTCATCGTCTCCGTCACACACCCAGCGACTATGAATACAATTTTTATTACCACATCTAAACTTGTTGGAACCTTCACAATTTATCTCATCTGTAAAGAGATTTATCATTAACATTGATTAGGCACAATAAAAAAAATTATTAATTTATCACACTCACGCACATGATTTCTATATTTCTAAATATAATTTTTTTTTTAAATACCAACTTTGGAAAAAAAAAATTTTTTGAAATTTTTTTTGAAAAATATTATTATATTTTTAATTTTTAGTAAATAGTAGATATTGTTTGCATTATCTGAATCATGTTTTACTTTGAATATCAAAGCACCAGAAAACAACCCAAGGGTGATATTTGGCTTTAGCAAAATAAAATATAAAAATAAACAAACCACCCTCCCTAATCACTTTTCCAGCCTAGATAGGGTGATAAGCTAATAATTTTATTTTATAGGGTCTTAACTTGAATAGCTAAGGGCCTAATTTAGGTCTATATTTGGATCACATCAAATTCTAGTCTCAGGAGTATGATATAAGAAAACTCAAGTGAACTTTATATCTGAATAAATTTAGTCCAAATCACAATAACATAACCATTCTTCAACTGTACTTAAAATATATTTACATTTTTCTCTTTTGTACTATAGAAACCTTTCACTGTCCCAGACACAACAAAAAACATAGAGGGTTTTTTTAGGGTCCTTTGAAATACCACATATTAGCCACCTCTCAGACAAGAAAAACAACTTTGATTTCAGTGTTTTCTGTTTGAAATTATATTTTAGAGCAACTTGAAAAGATCAATCTATTTCATTCAGATTGTAAATTGGTTTATGGGTACAACACTGACTCTTTGAATGTATAATTGCAAAAAGTAACAATAAGTGTAATCCAACACCAGTCACTCTATTAAAATTGATTTGAGTTCCTGGATGGTGGTATTGTTCACTGAGACTCTAGCATCAATATTCTTCCATCAGTCACATAAAAAAAAACCTGCATACATAGGAATTTTCAGTATAAACATGGTATTGACGATTTCATCGCGTGAATGAGTAGAGTGCATTCATTCAGTCTGTGGATCTGTTATTGTATTCTTGACTATCTTTTTTCTCAGGTAACAATCTGCCTTGACTTCTTAAAATAAGACATCTGCTGCTAATTATTTGATATTAATTGAAAGCATTGTGGTTTAGTAGGAGGGTTTGAAACTTCGAAAGGCATGGTTTGAACCCATTTGGATATGTAGTCTATGCCACAGTCTATCGAAAACATAGTAATTATTATTTTTAATATCAAATTAAATTAAACATTTACTGTCAATTGTCTCAATATTATTTTGATAGAACATGTTAACAATCAAAATAATAGGGCCAAGACAAAAGACAGAAGTTTTGATTAAATTTATTCATAATACTGTAATTCATATTCATAAACTTAAAAATTAATAATGAAATAAATTATGTTTATGTACTGTATATTATGTCCAATATAACATACACTATTTCCAAATACGTGACCCAAGCTCACAAACACAGGGGCGGATCCAGAAATGTCCAAAAGGGGGGCCGGAAAGGGGGCCGGAAGTTGGGCCGATTGAGACAACACTGTCGTAGGGGGTCCGGGGGCATGCCCCCGCGAAATGTTTGTGTTCTAGACGTCCGAACGTAACATTTGAGACATTCTGGGCTATTATTTTTTTCTTTTTCCCTTTTTTTTTTTTTCTTTTTTTACTTCCCAAAAGGGGGGCCGGGGCTGGGCCGGCCCCCCCCCTAAATCCGCCCCTGCAAACGTGCTGTAAACTCGTCCTCAGTCCAAAATGAGTTTTTGTTATTGCATAGAGCATATCATTTACTTTAAAATGAGAGTTCAATAAACTCAATCAGGTGTCTGGAAGTAAAGTTATGACTGTTTGAATAATAGTCATCTTATCAACTTTGAGAAAAATGCTTTTATTTTCGGCAGGCTATTCATTTTTCATTAGCTCCCATCTGAAAATGGCTAAATTTTACCTCTTACAGTTGGAATTTTAAACTCAAACTTCAAGATTAATAGTTACACTTTATTTATTACACAAAAACCCAATTCACACAAAATTCACATTCTACGCCATATTCTGGGTATTGAGGCTTGTTTCTCAATACAGTGCAGAGCGAGTTTACAGCCCGTTTGTGAGCTTGGGTCACAATTATACATTACTACTTTCTAATAATTGCTATGAAATTTACCATGCTGTCATAACTCATGATCAAAGTGAGCTACTAAAAACACTTGTTTGTTTGTATCAAATAACCTCCGACCTCCATGAGAGGTCAACATATAAATCATAAGCCAATTACATTTGTCATTGATAGATACCTGTATTTGACCTCAATTTCCTAAAACAATGTAAAACAACACAGAAAAATGCTACCACCCATAAATTAATTAATTGCCCATTATATTTCTAGAAAGAAGTTAGATCTTATTGTTTATCTACTATTAATTATTATTTTATATTTGTTGATAATCAGCCAATTATCTTGTTATGACATTGCTACTCTCAGGCAGTGTATACCTAAATTACAAAATTATATTTAAAAAGTTTTTTTCAAATAAATGATTTAAAATGCATTATTATATTTCAAAAACTCCTTCCTTTACCACTTGTGCTTTCTTTAAGGATGTACCATACATGTTATAAATAGATTCGGGAGGCAGCCCATTTCTCCACATGGTGTATTAATAACATGGTAGCTGTAACATATTTTTTAATAGACTAATATGTCTACTCAGCCTAAGACTTCTTTCCCCTGAAAAGTTAATGCTTTTAAATGGGTTCAATCATAATATTTAACATTTTCTCGTGACTACAACAATTAATTATACAGTTGCACATAGGCTTTACCCAATAGTTAAAAATAGCGGGAGGACCACTCTACAGCAGTTTGAAATAAAAGGAATAGATTAACAGAGGACATGTCAGTTGTACAATTCAACATTTATTAGAAATCATAGCCCAGGCATAAAATTAAAAGATTACACTTTTCTATTTGTTCTTAATTTTTAAGCAATTTCAGCCTTATAGTATTCTTTATTAAATGTGTTCTAGTGGGCGTGGTCGAGCTTCAATTAAAAGGTTCTGAAAGTGGTCCTGGGGGCGAAGCCCCCAAAGATTTCAACAATTTAGGGATTTCAAAGGCTTATTTAATCGATTTTAGCATCTACTAATATGTAAAAAATACATATATTTTTTTTTCCCAACGAATTGTGCTTTTTCTCCCCGACGGGGGGCCCTGGCCCCCGGCCCCTCCGCTGGCGCCACCCCTGCAAAATACCCACTCAAAAGGAACATAAAAATTAAGAATTTCTAAAAATTTTTTTTTGAGTCTTTATCTAATGTTGATAATCATAACAAAACAAATTTTGAAAATTACTGACCACATCCAATTTCATCACTGGCGTCCCCACAATCGTTGTCCAAGTCACACCGCCAGCTAGCGGAGATACACTTCCCATTTGCACATGAAATTTCGTCCGCATCACATGTTGGAGATTCTGAAAGGAAAGAACAAAATTTAGAAATGTAGGCAATTTTGAAATTTTAAATTATTTCTCAGAGTTATTTGTTGCATCACAACCTGTATGGCTGTATAAAATAAGTGATGAACTGATAGAAACCGTAGCTTATTTGGGATGTGTTTAAGCTCAGAATATTTTTATTTACAGATTCATATTTATTTACATAATGCATTCAAGTGCAAAAAAAAAAAAATTCTAGAGCAATTTTGTATGTGTGAATGTGAAAACAGATAATGAGGCTCTATTTAAAAACCACTAATGTCCTCATAATTTTAGATATTTTTATATGTTTAAGAGGTGCTCAACTCAACAAAATATTGAATAAGTAAAATTTTGGAATAAACCATTACTTGTACACAAAAATTATATTCATATTTGATGTTTTTAATGGTAATGATGGGCTTATATTAGAAATGTGCAGATGTTTGCATGAAAATAACAAGTATAAGATGTTAAAATTTAAAAAAAACTGGAAAATTCTGTAGTAGAATGCTTGAAAAAACCTTCAAGGAGGCAATACCCCACAGTGGTTACTATCATGTATAAGGTAGACTAATAATCTTCTAGTTTAAAAACGGCTCTGAATTACCTGTAATTAGATATAGTTAAATATCTCACCAAAGTAGATTCCATGCAGCTCGGCTAATATTAGCACTTCTAATAGGCACTTACAACTAGTGATATATCTAAAAGTATTGGCATGGGATCTATGGGTGTGAGGCCCTGGTTGGATAAGGGTAAAATAGGAAAGTGAAGGGGCCCAAGGAAATGAGGTGACATTTAAAAATCATGAGTATAATAATCTTTGCTAAGTAAATTTATAGTCGATGGGTGCTTAGGGCGTGGAGCAAGCTTTTCTTTTTTTTTTTTGGGGGGGGGGGGGGGGGGAGGAGGAGTTGGAGGTGGAAAGAAGCTACATGCGTGTCAGTTATGCCAATGCATTAAAAGGTAATCAACATGAATACCTCAGTTGCTGCATACTGGAGTTAAATATTATTCATGTCTGCATTACCATAAATCAGCTTGATGCCAAAATATATTTGAAATATTAGTTTATATTAACATATTCTTACATATATTGGTGAATGCTAAAACTGTTGAGAATTTTATGTATATTTGTATTTTTCCATTTTGTTTTGTTTTAAGATTGATAACAATTTGAAGATGTAAAAATATAAAGAGAAATAATTAAATCAAACTATAAATGCAGGTATTTATGAAAGATGCATATTCATGATGCCTTTGGAAACATGGTCCGTTACCAAGTTGGAAGCTATGGCACAGTCTACGATGCAACTTTACCAGCTAAGCTTTGTCATAGAAAATCTAAAGTACTGATTTCTGTTGCAAATTTAGATAGCAAGGAGCAACACCTCCTTGATATATATAAGTCTTATTGTGCTCTTTAACCAACAAGTGATGATAGACTTCTACTAATTCCTTAGTCTCGACATCTCTATTTAGCTTCACTGGATGTGTTAAGCCATTCTTGTGGAAATCAAACTAGAATTCTTGTCTTATATGCTGAGGACTTCTCTTTTTCCCCACAGACAGCAACCCGACCCACTTTTTGATCGAGCATCTTAAGTTAGTTAGCATCGTGGGACATTAGTTCTGCATCACGCTTGCTTCCAAAATGGTTTTTGTTCTGAAGTTTTTCTCTGTATTTCTCGATATTATGGATTCAAAATTAATCATCATCAAAAACAAAAGGAGATGTTGAGTTTTACTGGATTCCCAATGAGTCAGATGTTAAGATGGCAAAGGTCATCGGGAGTTTAGTTATGTTTTGAGCGTTAACATTCATGTGTCATGTGACCGAATCTATAACTTTCTCACGGATGTTTATTTATCAAAGGTGTGACATATTTAGCTTCCGAGTTTGTTGAACTTCGTTGGTTATTGCCTAATATTACTGGTAAAACTATTTACCATGCACAAATGTTGTTTTATTGTAAAGGCAGGGTATTTTTTTTTTCACAGCTTGAGAAGTATTTAACCTAACTTCCTTTCCTAAATGTCACTCTCATTAAAAAGTAACTTATTTTCTAATTGGATATATTAGGGAGTGGAGGTCTGGAATTCACCGACATTAAACATATAAAGCATAAAGACCTTAAAGATGAGTACAGCTTCGCTATTTGTATAATTTTGTCTAAAAAATACTTACTGAAAATTTATAAAATATGAAAATGTAGGTTCATCATCTTTAAGTTTAATATTTCTGTATTCTATAGGCAACTTTGTTCCCAAATGTGATAATTAAGTTGGCTTTTAAGTTTAGTATTTCTGTATTCTTTCATAAAGCCAGCTTAATTATCACACTTCAAAACAAAGCACTGTGAGGTACCAGTATACGATGGGGGAGGTAAAAAAGGTGTGCTATGAAGGAGGAGGAGTGGTGACACACCAAGCCTCGTAACTCATAACATTGAAGTCTGGCCCATATGCCAATGAAAACGAGATTGGCACTTCAGTCAAACTGATTTTGACTTTTAAACCGAATGTTTTCCAGTGTTTGAGTTAAAATGCTTTAAAGCAAACTACCCAGTAGCAGTTTATTCATAAAGCATACAATACTTGTTTTAACAAATATTTTGTATGCTTTAAAAAATAAAAAAACAAAATGAATTTGGCATTGACATTCTCAAAAACTGCAAATAAACTGCAAATACTAATAGCATCCTGCAGGCAGTTTTATTATAATACTGTAAGTTGAATTATATTGTTGTATTACTGAATGAAACAATAATTATATAATCAAATTTTAGAAAATCTAAATTTGCCTGATATGATCAAATGACTACTCCATGAAGATATCGGGTTAATACCCTCAGATAATGATTTTTTTTTTGCAAAAACAATATAACCTTCATAGATAAACATTGACATAGCTAATGCCTTTTATGAAATGTTCTTGTTACAATCAGCAATTGAAAGTAGGTTCATTTACAGAGACAATAGAGTCAACGGCTAAATCCAAACACAGGCCGAACTTGGACCAGGTGGCAAAACAAAATCACATCGACCCTTCACTACAAGATTACCAGAATGTGTTGAGAGCAAATAAAAGGTGTGAGGCAGGGGCTCAACAGGTGTGGCCACCTACTAATTAACCACTTATTGGCTACCTGACAATTCAAGGTGTATACATCATTCAATTTCAATTCAAGTAATCTTTATTGCAATTTTTGAACAATTGAATTTTAAACAAATTGAAGTTTATCAAAATCAGAAAAAAGGGCAGAAAAAAGGAAAAATAACCAGACAATTATTAATTGAAATATTCTCAATTAAAAGTAAACTATAATAAATTTAATAAATAAATTATAAAAGTTATTAAAAGAAAAAATTAAATATAATTGATACATATTTAAAATTCAAAAATTAATAATTTGTTTAACATAGGCCTACAATTAGTTAATATATTAAGATACAAAATAAATATATACATTTAGTGGAGAACGTGCAAAATTCACATGAAAAAAAATGTATCTACATTCAAAAATTATTAAGTAATTTTAAAGACATCAAGTGGATATACAAAGAGTAAAATGTGATAAATTAACAAAGTTAAATAATTTAAAATATAAGTTCTTTTTATATTTTTTTATATTTTATATCTTTGTTTAAACATGGAGGTATTATTGAGAAGGAGATCACTCGGCAACAGATCCCTTTGACGCGACCAACCTATGTGTTCCCCGCTTTTGGATCGCGCGCGGGCGTATTACCCTATGATTCACATTTTTTCGTTAGCAACAACTTGGCAACGACATGCATTTATACGCTTCCAGCAGATCAGTTGTGCAATAAAACGTTTGATTTTAACCCATTAAATATCTTTATAATGAACAATGTTCCCCTGATTAGATTTTTTCGGGCTTTTGGTATGTTATTATTTGTATATTTCAGGAACGGATTCCATAAAATATTTATGTTAAAATTACTTCTGTGTTCATTATAATTTTGTCTAAAGATTGACTGGTTCGACTATAAAGCTAAGTCAGCGTAAAACTGAAAAATCCTCCGATTTTGGATTCATTTTTCGAATAGTTAACCCTCGTTAACCCTAAAATGACTTAGTTTATTATAACCCTTAATCATTTATTAATTAATATCTGTTAAAATTAGAATTGGCGAATTTTGGCCAATTTATGAAAATTGAAGTTGAAATATACTATACTTTTATAGGTCATGTAAATGTTCCATTAAATTCGAAACTAGATGTGTATAAGAGACAGATACAATATTTTTCAAATGTAACTTTCAGTAGAATGTTTTACTCACCCTATGAGCTGTCTCTTATACACATCTAACAGTATGTAGTGCGCATTGAGAAAAGAAGGTGCTCTCCATTTCGTCGTGTTAAATTTTCTGGTCAACTATGCCTGCTGAAAATTTGATGGCGGGGAACACATGGGACTTCAAAGGCATCGCGCAAACATTCTTAACGCGCTGCGGAAACTTTGATCTTGGTTCATTTGCATAGCGCTGCGTGCGCGTAGCTTTACCGAGTGATCTCCTTCTCAATAATACCTCCATGGTTTAAACAAAGAAGGCACTTTTCATGATTTTATATAATTTCATGACAATGAAGTTCATTCTGATTCTCTTTCTGATATTAAAACTGATTATTTATAAAACAAAACACTCAAGAGTATCAATATCATGCAAGAAACACCATTGAGATCTGGATGGAATCATAATTAAATCGTTTAATTTTTGTTTTAATCTGCAGAGTAATTATAGTTTAAGTTATTATTGGTCTGGGGGAAAGAGACGAAACAACCTTTTTTTTCACTTTTTTTCACCCAGTCTTTAAATATTTACAAAACTGTATCTCATTAACCTAAGTTTTTCATCAAACACCATTTTTAAGTCTTGGGAAAATCAGTTGCACAACATATCAAATGCTGTCTTTCCTTTGGGAACTGGCTTAAAATCATTTTAACATTCATTCAATTCAGTAAACA